ATTTTTTTTTTTTTCAACGTTTATTTATTTTTGGGACAGAGAGAGACAGAGCATGAACGGGGGAGGGGCAGAGAGAGAGGGAGACACAGAATCGGAAACAGGCTCCAGGCTCTGAGCCATCAGCCCAGAGCCCGACGCGGGGCTCGAACCCACGGACCGCGAGATCGTGACCTGGCTGAAGTCGGACGCTTAACCGACTGCGCCACCCAGGCGCCCCTATAAGGCCACTTTAGAAAATACAGCTATGTAGGTGTTTTATGAAATACCTGCTCCTCTGATCCTAAGTTAGAGAGTAGTTCCTGCTGTGTGGAAGAAGGGCCCTGGAGCCAGAGTGGGTTCAAACTAACTTTGCTTTTAACCATGTAACCTTGAATATGAGAGTAAGCTTCTGGGCTACATGGTTTTCTCATCTGTAAAATGGGGATAATAACAGTAGCCTTCCTTATAGAGTTAATTGAGTTGAACGTGAAATGCTTAGAACAGAGTTTGACATGTAAGAAAGCATTCTGTAAAAGTTGGCCATCATTAGCTATTATAACTTTTATTAGAAAGTTCCAGGCTTGAGCGACCTGAGTCACACTGGCTGTTTTGGTCAAATTAACTAAGAAATTGCCCATTTCAGTGTACTGCTTAAGACCTTGGGATCTGGAGGGGTGGCTGGGTGGCTGAGTCGGTTCGGCTTCCGCTTTCAGCCCAGGTCATGATCTTGTGGTTTGTGAGTTCGAACCCCATGTTGGGCTCTGTGCTGACAGCTCAGAGCCTGGAGCCTGCTTCAGATTCTGTGTCTCCCTTTCTCTGTCCTTCCCTTGCTCACGCTCTATGTCTCTCTCTCAAAAATAAACATTAAAAAAAAAAAAAAATTAAGACCTTGGGATCTGGAGCTATTAATGACCTGATCTTAAAATGATATTCCTTGGACAAGTTATTTAACCTCTGTCAAGCTTCAGTTTCTTTATCTACTGTTTGATACACTAAATTTAAACCCTAACAATATCCACTCGGTGGTGTTACTGTCAACATGAAATAAAATAATATGCATGATGTATACAAAGTCATCGCCATATGCTTGTCACATCCATTCTTATTATGAGATGGCCCAAGTTAACCATTAGAATTAGATGTTTCTGGCCAGTGGAGCAGAAGATTTTATATTTATCTCCCCTCTTAACAATTCTTAAATTTTGCCTGGCTAATTTACATGAAAATACCACTCTGTGACTTGAATTATTCGCCTGGACAAAATCAGCTAATTGTCAAATCTAGTTCATGCTCTCTAGGAATAGTCTAAGTGGCTCCTTGATTTTAGTATCTGACCTCCCCTGCCTTTCATCTAGACGAAAATCTTTGTTTTATACAGCAAATATTGCCAGAAAACAGCAAATATTTTTATTCTTTTGACCTGACCAGTATTTTCAAACTGAGTCATTCTCAACTCTTTAAGTGGAATGGATGCTTTGCCAGTAAACTTCTCCAAAAGAGTTTGTTTCGCTGAACGCAGATACTATAGTAAGTGAGCATCCATGGATGATGATACAAAGAGCTTGTCTCTTGCTTGGGTGAAAGTGGGTGTGGGATTAGACTGGGACTGATGTGAGGGAAGCAGAGGCCCAGGGAAGGCCAAGGAGAAGGAACAGGCTTATCTGACTGGGAAGTGCTTGGGTGGAGGGAAAGAAGGGAGGGAATTGCAAAAGGTTCCTGAGGGTGGCGTAAGAGGGAAGCTGTGTGGAAGATGTAGTTTAAGGAGATATTGTAGTTTAAGGGGATTAAAACTCTGTGAATGAGAATAGATTCTATGACTCCTCTACAGTGTTTGAGAGCTTGACCAATGTTTACAGATTTTTAAAATTTAATCCTCATGATAATTGGTGCAGAACTGATACTGTGTGCACTTTCCATGTGTGAGAGGGAGAGAGGCCTAGGGTAACATGGCCAGTAGGAAGCAGGGCTTGGATTTGTACCCAGGTGTCCACCCTTGGAATCTAACGTTTTCTCTAATATACTGTGTCTGTTGAAAAGCTGTACCAGGGAAATCCTCCCACCGAAAAAAGTAGCCAAGGAAAAGATAGACATGTGGCTGAGGCTGGAGGAAGGGAAGAGGCAGGGGTATTAAGATCTGTGCCTGTGGTGAGAGTGGGGACCCTGGGAAACTGGAGAAGATGAAAGAGAGCTCAGAGGCCGGGTTCCTTGGTATCACACAGGTGAGAGGCCAGGTGAGGGCACACATAGTTTGGAAGAGGGACCAGAATATTCAAGGTCTCAGATTCCCTACAGACTGGTTCATAGCAGAGTAAATCTGCGCTGTTATTCTTGGGTTCTATGGACAGTTTCATGATATAGTCTGGGGTCAAGAGCATAGACTCTGATTGCCTGGTTCAGTCCAGGTTCTGGCATCTAGCAATGTGACCTTGGGCAAGTTAATCCTTTCTGCCTCAGTTTACTCATCTATAAAACATGGACAATAGTAGTACCTCCCTCATAAAGTTATTGTGAAAATTAAGTGAAATAATACCTGTGAACCCCTTAGAACAATGCTTGACACCTAGTAAGCACACAGAATCATTTTTATCCATCCAACTTGTTTGTCCCTGGCAGGTAAACATAGCCAGCTGGAGAAGAGGTGGGCCTGTTATAGAAAGCACTCTTCCTGCTCATAGGGTATAGTTATCATCAGAAGGAGGTTGATATATAGTTACTAACTAAGTCCTCGGGATCATGGTGGTAGTTTGTAAGATTCTCCCGTGTTTTGGCTAAGCTTCTACTCTAAATGCTTCTGGGTGAGGTAAGCCCCTATGACAAACAGATCTGCTTGTTCATGGAGGAGCTACAACCCATCAGGGACCTCTGAGGAACTAAGGGAATTGTATGTATAACATGTGGATTGTTCTTTATTTCTGTTTTGGTTTTGGCAGGAAACAGCAAGAGATTGACTCCAAAGATGCTATTATTTTGCATCAGTTTGCAAGACCTAACAATGGTGTCCCCAGTTTGTCTCCTTTCTGTTTGAAAATGGAAACTTACTTAAGGATGGCTGACTTACCCTATCAGGTACTTGTGAACAAATGTATCCTTTTTTTTTTAAATTTTTTAAGCTTATTTAATTTTTTTTTTTTTTTGAGAGAGAGAAAGAGAGAGAGAGAGAGCAAGAATGAGCGGGGGGAGGGGCAGAGAGAGAGGGAGACGCAGAATCCAAAGCAGGCTCCAGGCTCCGAGCTGTCAACCCAGAGCCCAAGGCAGGGCTCGAACCCACGAACCGTGAGATCATGACCTGAGCAGAAGTCGGGCATTCCGCCGACTGAGCCACCCAGCAGCCCCTAAACATGTTTTATTTTCATGACAGTCATGTCAGAGGGGGAGTTCCTAATCTCACACCGTGGGAAGGACTTGCTCTTGGTGCTGAAGGGGTGGGTGTGACATTAGCAGGGCCCAGTCCTTACTAGATACTTAGGAGAGACTTGATTCTAGTGTCTGTTGATTTTTACATTCAATTTAATGAGGGATCCAAAGGGTATGGACTTTTGTAGGGCTCAGGGTCATGGTATTGCTTTTCTGACATAGAGTAGGCTTTGGTTAAGCTTGGATAGGCCTCTTGGGCAGCTACTAATAAAGGTGGGTGCCCACCTTTGCCCCACGTGGTTTTTTCCTTTAGATTTCTGTTTGACGGCATTATATTTTGTCTCTCATGAATCCTGGGGGGGCAGAGCACCCAGCAAGCCACCAGGGAGATAGTTGTGGATTTTGTGAGAGCTTTTCCATGGGGCTCCATGTTGTGTTCAGATGACTTTCAGTGAAACATTTGCTCATTTCAGCATTAAAGAATGAAAAGAGGAACACAGTTAAAGGTATACATTTTTCTGTGAGTTGTGTCTCACAAATTTGACAGGTTGTATTTTTGTTGTCATTCAATTCTATGTATTTTAAGAAAAATTTTCCCTTTTTCTTTTTCAGCTAAGATCTAGCCACATACAATATTTTAATGCTTTGGTTTTTGTTATTGTTTTTTAACTTTATGATCAGAGCAGATAGTCTCTGTGATAGTGATTCTTTGGAATTTGCTGAGGCTTTAGCCTAATGTGTGGCTGGTTTTTATAAATGTTGAAAATAATTACATATTCTCTGTTTGGGTGAAGAGCTCCCTAGATTTACTTGCTTGAGTGTGTTTAGTGTATTTTTTAGATCTTGTATATCTCTGCTTATTTTTTTAGCCTGTTCTAGCAGTTTCCAAAAGGAGTGGGTTAAAATATCCAACGGTATTTGTTGATTTATCTTTTCTTCCTGCCATTCTCTCGCTTCTTGCTTTATGCAAGAGGTTATATGTTTAGGTACACATCATATGAAAGAACACATTTGTACTCTCTTGTTTCTTTTCCCAGTATATAGCACTCAGCTGAGTCCCCCCTTTAAAAAAAAATTCTTTTTAATGTTTTTATTTATTTTTGAGACAGAGAGAGACAGAGCATGAGCAGGGGAGGGGCAGAGAGAGAGCGAGACACAGAATCTGAAGCAGGCTCTAGGCTCTGAGCTGTCAGCACAGAGCCTGATGTGGGGCTCAAACTCACGAACTGTGAGATCATAACCTGAGCTGAAGTCGGTCGCTTAACCGACTGAGCCACCCAGGCGCCCCTCCCCTCTTTTTGTAATCTTGAATTTTATATTATCAGATATTGAGATTGATTCTCTACCTTTCTTTTTGTTCATAATTGCTTGGGATATCCTTCCCCATCCTCTTTATTTTTTGTGTATTGTCTTTCATGGGCAATGTATTACTTATAGCCAATCTAAGACTCCTTAACCGGTGAGTTTTTCCATTTATGCTTGTAATTATTCTCTTACTATGACTTATTTCTAACATCTTACTTAAAGTTTATTTATTTATTTTGAGAGAGAGAGGGAGAGAGAGAAAGAGAGGCAAAGAGAGAGGGAGAGAGAGAGAATCCTAAGCAGGTTCTGTGCTGTTAGAGCAGAGCCCAACGCAGGGTTCAAACTCATGAGCCATAGGGTCGTGACTTGAGCCAAAATCAGGAGTTGGACATGTAACCAATTGAGTCACCCAGGTACCCCTCTAACATATTATTTAGTATTTTTCTCCTTATCATACTTTTTTTTTCTCATTTCCTGCTTTGTAATGGATAGATAAAAGAAAAACTTTGTCATTTAAAGCAAATTCTATTTATGTCGTTCTGGTGGTTTCTCTGAAGATCCAAATTTGAGTTTACTTATTTCTCCCCATTTCTCAAATGCTGTGTTGGTCCTCTGATGATACGAGTGTGTTACAGGTTCACATGACTCTTGGGTCTCTCTTTTCCCAGCCCTGATCCCAAGTGTGATGTTGTCTAATGTTTTCATTCTGGGATTTTGGAAATCCTGGCTCTCTTTCAGCAATAAACCTTACTAAGTTTCTGACTAGCCTTATTTCCCATATATCTTCTCTGCCAGGATTATTTCTTTTTATTAGAGCAAGTCCTTGATATTTTCCGATTGAGCCTCCAGTGAGGCTTATTATGCAGTGAACTTCTAGTGGCTCTGTGTGCCTGACGACGTCTTCATTATGCCCTCACATTTGACACACATACGTTCAAAGTTCTTTTCCTTCAGGGCTGTAGAAGTATTATTCCTTTGTCTTTCTGCATTGATATTGCTATTGAAAAATATGATGTCAGTCTGATTCTTTTTCTCTTTCTCTCTGGAAGCTTTTAGAATTTGCATCTAATCTTGACATACTTAGATTTCACTATGATATGCCTTGGTGTGGGTCTTTATGTATCTTGTTTGGTCCTTTCTAAACTCTTTTAGTCTGAAGTCCTAATCTTTTTTTTTAATTCTGGGGAATTACTAATTTTCTTCAAATTCTTCTTCCTTTTTTTATTTGTTTTACCCTTCTTTTTTGTAAGTTTTTTTCTTTTAAGTTTATTTGAGAGAGAGAAAGTGAGAGTGTGAGAGAGAGCAAGGGAGGGGCAGAGAGAGAAGGAGAGAGAATCCCAAGCAGGTTCCATGCTGTCTGCACAGAGCGTAACATGAGGCTCGATCTCACGAATGGTGAGATAGATCATGACCTGAGCCAATCAGGAGGAGATGCTTCACCGAATGAGCAGCCCAGGCACCTCTACCCTTCTTTCTTGTGCCTTATTATCCAGATACTGAATCTCTGCCTTTATTTTCTGTATTTTTGAACATACTCCTTCATTCTTCTTCCTTCTGGGTGAATTCACCTTTCTGAGCCATTGTACCACTCTGTTCTCTTCTTGTATCTGTCATACTATTTATCTATTGAGGTCCACTTTTATTTTTCTTCGTAATACTTCTCCTGTGTTTGTATTACAACTTATTCTCTTATACCTTAGATGACATTTATTATGCCAATTAAAACTGTTTGGTCTGTCCCCATAATCCTGCGTCATGTTGTATTTATTCAGTCTGTTGTTCTTCTGTTATAGTGGTTGTATGCCTCAGGTGTCTATTTTTGTTTGCGATTTCCTTTTACCAGAGATGTCACCTTCCCTACCTGGGAATTTGTAGGGGGCAAGGGCGAAAGCTTAGCCTCTGAGGGGATGTAGGAAAAGTAAGGAGGTGAGCCCCAGGCATCCCCAAACCACTCCTCCAAATGCCTCCTACTGGTCTTACAAAGTAGCAGCATTGGGAGGAGGTGGTCTCCTTAGCCAGTAACAGCGGGAGCCAAGCTTTTGGCTTCCCTGATAGTGACGTTACCCCTCCAACTGCTGACGCCCCCAGGCCTCTGCTTTCTGAGCCAGTTTCTCTACAGAAGAGAAGGGGTGGGGTGGTAGTGATTCTCCTAAGGCGGGGCTGGGATGAGAGGCGGGCATCCTCTTGGCTTGGCGGCCCCACTGGGGGTGTGTCGGAGCGGCACCTGACCTGGGCTTCGGGTGAGGGGCCCTGGGAGGGCATGTGGTATTTGGGGGACAGAAGGAGGTTCTTTATGACTGGGAACTGGAATGCAAGGGCTGAGTCTGGAGAGAGGAACAGAGAGATCATTCAGGACTTTGAAAGCAGGAATAGAGGATAAAATAGCACTAAAGACAGACAAATCTTGAACCATCTAAAGGCGGTGGATCAGAGTTCAAAGATCACTGTTCAGCTTGGTGTTGGCAGTCGGCACTGGAAAGCATATGTCACTGAGGGGCTCACACTGAAGGAAGGAACTGCTACCCAGCAGCTGCCTGTCTCTGTCCTATCATCACTCTTGACTAAATCATATCCATCAGCCTTGGCAGCTTTGGGGCAGTCAGGGTGCCAATACCAAACGTTGTGCTCGGTAGCCTCTCGTGGCTCCTGGGTCTCTTGCGCCCCCCCCTCCCCGCCCCCACCGTCGATGAAGCAGTTCTGCTGT